AGTGTAAGTCAAATAAGCCCTTCCCTCCTCAAGATGATTTGGTCAGTGTTTTAGGAAATAACAGAAAGAAACTAGAACAGAGATGTTGTCTGGAAATAATAATAATAGTCACCATGTCAGCCACCTTGCACCGTTTCCTCCAGGCTGCCACTGGGGAACAAACACCACGTAGTGTGCAGTAGTCAGCTCCAACGGCTCCCTCTGGTTCTCCTTGCTGTGCCAGATGCCATAGCCAAAATACACGACAAGTCCTGTAGGAACAGGCATGAGCCTGAGGGGCAGATCCCAACCCCACCCACCCTCTTTAGCCTCCCATTTTAGAAAAGCTGCGTCCAAGCCCAGGCCCCACTCACCAACCAGCAGCCAGAAGATAAAGCGCAGCCAGGTCAGGTAGCTCAGCTTCAGCATGAGGCAAATGTTGAGAAGGATGCTCAGGGCTGGAGTCAGGGGCACCAAAGGGATCTGAGGGTGCAAGGGCGAGGCTGAGCTCGGCTGCAGGATAGCTATGCCAGCCTAGAGCCTGACTTGTGTGGGAGTTCCTTAGAACCCGTCTTCATCTCTGGAGATTTGGAGCCATGTGTACCCGGGCCCTGCAGAACGCTGGAGGAAGTGGGAATGGATAACCCCGCCTCCCCAGCCCCGTGAGCCCTTGTGCCTAGATTATGGTGTCTTTAAGCTCATTTTTATAAGGGTTTATGTCTATTGTGGGATATCTCCAGAGAAGACTTCTTGGACATGGGTTTAAGCTAACAGAAACTCTTCACTGGCTGGTGGACAACTACACTGGGTGTTCAGGACCCCTGTGTAGTTAAGCCTTTCTCAGGGTGAGCTTTTAAGCACAAAACTATGTTCTGAGCTGACATACTTCAGTTAACAAGAACAGTTAGCCAGAAGCAGAACTACAGAAGCTAAAAGCAAGGTTTGTACATTTAGAGACTTCCCCAGAACTACATGGACTTTGGGGGATTAGGCCTTTGTTTTAGTTTTAGCATGTGGTACTGTCTACATGCTGAGTTTTACAGCCTGAATGGCATTTCTACCATGGAGTCAGTTGTGCTAAGGTCTCAGGGCCTACCAAGGTCTGGGCTCTACTATATAGTAACTAGTCCCCCTTCTGCTTTACATAGGGTTCCATGGAGCACAGGATGGCCGTGAACTCCTGATCCTCCTGGTGTGTGGTATTATAGGTCTGCAGCACCATGACCACCGTGTAAATAGGATGTTATCAAATGGAAGTGGTATACACATGATGGGTCCCAAGCAGGTCCTGAAGACACAAGCAAGTTACTTGATGAAATTGTCCAAATGCCTATGGTTTCTACCTGTTACAATGTCCTCTGCTACCCAGTATGCACCGTAACCTCATGGGCTGTGCCCTATGACCCATTGTCTGAGGAAGAGGAGACTGGCACTCTGTTTACTGATGGTTCTGAACATGATGTAAGTACCATCGAAGTGGACAGCTGCAACATTACAATCCCTTTCGGAGACAACTCTGAACGACGCCAGCAAAGGGAAATCTTCACAGGGGGCAGAACTTCAGGCAGTACACATGGTCATATAGTTTGTTCGGAAGGAGAAACGGCCAGATGTGTGATTATTCACCGATTCATGGGCTGTAGCCTACAGACTGGCTGGATGACCAGAGGCTTGGAAAGAGCATAACTGGAAAATTAATGAGAAAGATTTTTGGAGAAGTATATAGCTTGATCTCCCCAAATGGGTGAAGGATGTGCAGATACTTGTGCCCCATGCCAGTGATCATCTAAAGGTGACTTCAGCTGAGAAGGAGGTCAGTAGTCAAGTAGGTAAGATGACCTGTTCTCTGGCCAGTCTCTTTCCCAGCCATCACTGTCATTGGCCAATGGGCCCACAAACAAAGTGGCCATGGTGGCAGAGATGGGGGCTATCCATGGACTCAACAACACGGACTTCCACTCACCAAGCCTGGCCTGGATACAGATGCTGCTGAGTGCCAGATCTGCCAGAGATCAACACAGTTCCAAATATGGCACCATTCCCAAACAGAGGGTTTTTTTTTTTATTAGAGAAAGGGATCATACAAAGGGGAAAGGGGAGGGGGAGACCAGCCTCCAGGGACAGGAGCAGCAGGAGAGAGGAAAGATGGACACAGAGAGGGAGAGGAACAGACAGATAGAGGGAGAGATAGGAAGAGAGAGAGAGAGAGGGAAGGAGAGAGGGAGAGAGAGACAGAGAGAGAAAAATGGGATGCAGGCAGGGCCTTTTTAAAAGGAGACATAAAAATGTATCACCATGCCGGGCGTTGGTGGCGCATGCCTTTAATCCCAGCACTTGGGAGGCAGAAGCAGGCAGATCTCTGTGAGTTCGAGGCCAGTCTGGTCTACAAGAGCTAGTTCCAGGACAGCCTCCAAAGCCACAGAGAAACCCTGTCTCGAAAAACCAAAAAAAAAAAAAAAGTATCACCACATGTATTTTATGGATATTTGTGTTTTCTTTCCAAGATTCATCATGTAATGTAATGTCAATTGAGATGTTATCAGTGGCTATCAAGTTATAAAACACTAAAGAGACAATCCCTCAATGAACATTGCCACCTATTCTAAAATACATAATGCTTTTGTGGCTATACATGAGATAGTTATATCATGTTAGGCATAATTATGTTTTCGTTTGGAAATTGAATATGACATAAGGAGATATGAGTGTGCATCAAGTTGGTAAGGAGTGGGCTTGTGATGGCTAAGTCTTGGTTGACGTCTTGAGTATATCTGGAATCAACTAAACCCAAGCAGGTGGGCACACCCAGGAGGGGGTTTTCCTTGATGGGATCATTTGAGGTGGGAAGATCTACTGTGAATGTGGAGCACCCCTACTGTGAATGTGGAGCACCCCTACTGTGAATGTGGAGCACCCCTACTGTGAATGTGGAGCACCCCTACTGTGAATGTGGAGCACCCCTACTGTGAATGTGGAGCACCCCTACTGTGAATGTGGAGCACCCCTACTGTGAATGTGGAGCACCCCACAGAAAAGGACGGGGAAGGAGTATGTGCTTGCTTTTTTGCCTGCTTGACCTTACTCTCACTGGCAAGGTCATCTATCCCATTCCTGAGGCATTTGCTGGGGTTAGAACTGACTTCTTTGGGCTTCCAATGTTGAAGACGGGCAGCTGTCTAGGACTTCCCTGGGACTCCCGCACCAGATGGGACAGACGAGACATCTGGTCTTATGGACTGAGCAAACTACTGGCTCTGCCTTGGCCTCTCTATCAGCCTTCGTTGGACTATTTGGACCATAGCCTGTAAGTCTCTGTAAGTAATCTCTTACATACAAATATATGTCTATCAGTTAGGGACCCCTAACCCAGGGAGGATTAGGACCTGTGACCTGGGGAACCTGTGTCACTGGGGCAGGTTTAAGGTGTCAAAGACTCCTACGACCCCCAGTGCTCTCACTGCCCGTGGCTGTGGACGATTGATCTTTCAGCTCTTCCTTTACACAGTCATCATGGACCTCAGCCCTCCGAATCCACAAACAAATTAAATGTTTTTATTTTCATTGCTTTTGAAAATTTGTATGTGTGTAGGTATTTTGCCTGCCTGGATGTCTGTGTACCACATTCATGCAGTGCCCCCTGGGGCCCAGAAGAGGGTGCTGGTCTTCTGAGACTGGAGTTAGAGATAGTTGTGAGCTGCCATGTGGGTGGTGGGAATTGAATCCTTGTCTTCTGGAAGAGCACCCAGTGCTCTTAGCTGCTGAGCCATCTCTCCAGCCCCGAACACTTTCCTTGGTCATGGTGATTTATCATATCAACAAAAAAGTAACAAACAGAAACCCATAACCTGTAGCTGTCAATCTGGATTCTCCATACTCTAGATTCTGCCATGTATGTGGATTGGTCTAATCTAGACACTTCACAGGAAGAGAATTACAACACACGATCTTTGACTAACATCTCACAGCATGTTCAAAGTTGGATCCATGTAGGGACTGATGGTTTTCTTTCAAAAGCAACTTTATTGTGATATAATTTACTCATTCCTTCAAAGTGATGCATTTACTAAAGTAGCTTCCACTATATTTACAGTTGTATAACAATCATCATAATCAACTGTATAACATGAATCACCCTAACATTTATTCCTTTGTGGCCAAATAGTATTACACCGTGTGTATATGCCAATTGTATGTATCCACTGTTACACTTTGGACCTTCTAGATATTATAAACGATGCTGCTAAGAACAGTTGTGAGGTTTTTTAAAAAATTATTTTCATCACATGCATTTATTTATGTGTGCAGAGCAGCACACATGCCACAATATGTGTGTGGACTTCAGGGGACAACTTGTGGGATCCATTCTTCCCTTCCACCATGTGGGGTCTGGAGCTCAAACTCTGGTAGTCATGCTTGGTAGCAAGTATCTTCACCTTCTGCGTTATCATCTTGGCTTCCACTTTCAACTTTTTTGTGTGATGTGTTATTATTTCTCTTGAAAATATTCATATTTCAATGGATGGTAATTCTAATTGACTTTTTGGGGAACTAGCAGAAAACCATGTGATCCTGATATTCCCACTCCCCACACTAATTATTTTATCATCATGAATTACCGTATGTGCTTGGATCACTGGCTTCCAACATTAGCAGAGTTCTAGAGCTCAGTTACTGGTCATTTCACTTGTTTCCAGCTTTCATCACTACAGAAAGCTGGCTTTAGTGAACGTTCAGGAATCAACATTTCTTTTATGCAGGTTCCTGCTGTGTACCCCAGTCTGGTCTTAAGTCACTATGCCTCTGACTCAGTCTCCCGAGGCCAGAATCACAGGCACGTGTCACCAGCTCTACAGATAGACTTTTTTTCTTTCTTTAAAATTTGTTTTCTATTTTTTGAGACAAGATTTCTATGTATTGCTTTGGAGGCTGTCCTTGAACTCTGTAGACCAGGCTGGCCTCGAACTCACAGAGATTGCCTGCCTCTGCCCCCTGAGAGCTGGGATTAAAGGCATGGGCCACCAACGCCCGGCCAGATAACTTTTTTACTTTTCTTTTTTGAGACAGGGTCTTCTGTAGCTCAGGCTGGCCTCAAACTCGACTAGGTTGTGGAGGATGGCCTGGAACTTCTGTTTCTTCTGCCTAACTGCTGGAGGGCTTGAATTGCAGGCATGCAGGTTTGTGCTTCTTTATGCAGTGCTGTGAAATCAAAGCCAGCGTTTTCTGTGTACTAAGCAAACACTACTGAGTTACACTCCCTGGCCGGTCAGCAGCAGTTTTTCTATGCAGCTCTAGTTATTTCTGCAGTGCAGATTAATCAGTTGGATAGACTGAAGCACAAGGGTCATTTTACTGTTTGGAATGTGATGAGCAGTTGCCTTCCAATCGGTTGTGACTGTTTGCCTTCTTGCAAGAGCTTGGGAATTTCATTTGCATTTCTCCTTATATTTTGTCTAACAGGGTCACCAGAATATGAACCCCTGGATGACAGAGATGTCATTGCTCTTGTGTTCGTGTTGTTCATGGGAGGTTTTTTGGTTGGGTGAATGAGCCATAGCATACGAAGCCCAGGTTGTGGCAGATGCCGTAGAGCACGCTGTGTAGTGAATGGTCATCAGTGTGGCATCAGAGTGGCATACTAGAGACGAGACCAGAGTCGGTTGGAGCAGGTGCTGGTTGGGATGGTGTGGAGGCTGGTGGCCAGTCTTTTCTTCTGGAAGTGTTATTCTTTATACAAAGTCCTGGAAGAATTGCGGTCACTGAGTTGGTGAGGTCATCACATTCCCTGTTCACTTGGACCTCCTAGGAAGAGACCATTAGGAGACAGATATTAGCACTTTCTGAGGATTTGATTATTTTCATTTGCAGACCCAGGTCGCAGAGAAGCTCTTTTGGGCATTTGCTGTCTTGAGGACAATGATCTCATGACCCCCACCCCGCATACTATTAAAATAGGAAAGGAACTAAAGGAGCCTTTGGTAAGGGAACTAGAAGGGGCATTTGTGGTAGTGTGAATAAGAATGCTCCTCATAGGCTCATATAGTGGAATAGGTGATCCCCAGGTGGTTGAATTGAGGCAGGATTAGGAGGTGTGGCCTTGTTGGAGGGAGGAGGTATATCACTGGAGGTGATGAGGGTGAGGGGTGCAGCTTGAGTTTTCAAATCTCACACCATTCCCAGTTAGCTCTCCCTGCCTCACGCTTGTGAGAAGATGTGGCCTTTTTGGAGTGGATATGTCCATGCTGGAGGAAGTGTGTCACTGTGAGGGCGGGCTTTGAGGTTTCCTATGCTCAGGATACTGCCCACTGTCTCAGGTGACTTCCTGTTGCCTGTAAGATGTAGCCAGCACTACGTCTGCCTGTACACTGACATGCTCCCCACTGTGATATAATGGACTGAACGAAGTTATAAGCTGCCACTTCAGTTAGATGCTTTCCTTTCTAAGAGTCACCATGGTCATGGTGTCTCTTCACAGCAATAGAACCCTGAGACAATGGCCATGGACTCACCCTCTGAAACCATGGGCCTTGGAACCTCCGGCATTATGCTGACCCCACCCCCATGACGATGGGTGGGGCACACACAGTGGTGTGACCGTGTCATCACTACATCACTCATTACAGGGCTATGTAAGGACTCAGTATGCATGTGCAAGTTTCCACTTTTTTTTTCAGACAGGATTTCTCTGTATTGTTTTGGAGGTTGTCCTGGAACTCGCTCTGTAGACCAGGCTGGCCTGGAACTCATAGAGATCTGCCTGTCTCTGCCTCCCCAGTGATGGGATTAAAGGTGTGTGCCACCACCATCAGGCCTACATTTCAATTTTTAAGTGTTTTTTGTTTGTTTTTTGAGACAAGGTTTAAAATATTTTTAAAGTATAAAATGAAGGAGTTGCAGAGTTGGAGAGATGGCTTAGCAGTTAAGAGTGCTTGTTGTTTTTGCAGAGAATCTGAATTTGGCTCTCAGCATTCACATGATAGCTTACAACAGTCGGTGTTAACTCCAGTTCCAGGAGATCCGGCACCTCTTCTGGCCTCTTTGGGCACCAGGCATGCAGGCAGTGAACATACATACATGCAGGAAAAATAGTCACACATATAAATGAAAACAGATAAATGTAAAAAGAAGTATAAAATTATTAATGGATATAGGATGTCACCATGATGCCCAGACTCATCTCAAGTGATCTCCTCGCCTCATTCAGTAGCCAGGATTAAAGGCATACTTCATGAAAAGCAACTTTTTTCTCATGTTCATGGTGGGGAAGGTGGGCATTTGCCTTATTTCACATAATGCTAAAACTTTACTTGATCTATAAGCACATCCCCAAAAGCTGAGGATAGAATCTAGGCTAGTTGGATTGACAGCCAGAAGGCAGACAAAGGATTAAATATAAGGACATTGAGGAAAATTGCAGCAACAACTTGGTAACTGTGTCTCCTGCCAGTTAGACTGTGTAAAAAAATGTGTAAACATTCTTAAGTTACAATTAGGCTGTCCCTACTATATCAGAAATGAAGGCATCAGGGATATCCCCAACACATGTCCACTAAGAAAGAGTTTGTAGCCGGGTGGTGGTGGCCCACGCCTTTAATCCCAGCACTCGGGAGGCCGAGGCAGGTGGATCTCTGTGAGTCTGAGGCCAGCCTGGTCTACAAAGCGAGTTCCAGGACATTCAGAGATGTTACATAGAGAAACCCTATCTTGAAGAAACCAAACCAAAAAACAAAAGACCTGCTGTCATCATGATTTCACTATGTCATCACAGTTCCACTGATGTCATCACAGTTCCACCGATGTCATCACAGCAACACTGGTATCATCATGCTATTGCTAATGTCATCACAAAATCACTGATGTCATCACAGTTCCACTGATGTCATCACAGCAACACTGGTATCATCATGCTATTGCTGATGTCATCACAGAATCACAGATGTCATCACAGTTCCACTGATGTCATCTCAGTTCCACCGATGTCATCACAGTTCCACTGATGTCATCACAGCAACACTGGTGTCATCACAGTTCCACTGATGTCATCACAGCAACACTGGTGTCATCATGCTATTGCTGATGTCATCACAGAATCACTTATGTCATCACAGCATCACTTGCACTGAGGCCCTGACGTGTCCCCTTTTGTGAGCTTTTTTCAGGGATCCTGGTGTCTTAATCGCTTTTCTATTTCTGTGAAGAGACACCATGACCAACTTATAAAGAAAGACTTTAATTGGGGCTCATGGTTCCAGAGGGCAGAGTCCATGGCCACTATTAATGGTAGGAGCATGGCAGCAGGCAGGCCTGGCACTGAGCAGTAGCTGAGTACGTACATAGAATCCACAAGCATGAGACAGAGAGACAGAAAGCATGCTAACTGGGAATGCTGAGGGTTTTTGAAACCTCAAAGTGCACCCCCAATGACACACCTCAGTCATACTTTGATGGGGGAAGTCCTTCTGTGTATATGCTTGTCTTATTGGCTGAAAAAATAAAGCACTGTTGGCCAATAGGGAAGCCAGATAGGTGGGACTAGGAGTCAAGGAGGAGTCTGAGAAATGTAGTCAGAGAAGGAGTTGCCATGTGATCCCGGGAAGAGAGGACTCATGAGGCTGGCGTCCTTGGTAAGATAGGATCTTATAGCCAGGCGTTGGTGGCGCACACTAATTAATCCCAGCACTTGAGAGGCAGAGACAGGCAGATCTCTGTGAGTTCCAGGACAGCCTCCAAAACAATACAGAGAAATCCTGTCTTGAAACACACACACACACACACACACACACACACACACACACACACACACACACAGAGAGACCTTATAGAAATATATATATATAGGTAGTTATGAGTTAATACTTAAGATAGAACTATCCAATGAGAAGCCCTGGAATTGACTGACAGTATTGTAATTAACAGAGTCTCTGTGTGTTATTTGGGTTTGATGCAGCTCTGGGACCAGGCTGGTGGGAAGAGTGCTCGTTACAATACTTGGTAATCCTTCCCAAACAGTTCCACCAACTGGGGACCAGGCATTCAGACATGAGAGTGTATTCATTCAAGCCACCACCTTCCACTTCCGGGTCCCTGTAGGCTTGTGGCCATAATGGGAAGTGCATTTGGTCCGACTTCGGAAGTCCCCATAGTCTTTCCGTCTCAGTACTGTTAAAAAGCGAGGTGTGGTACACACCTTTAATCCCAGCACTTGGGAGGCAGAAGCAGGCAGATCTCTGTGGGTGTGCATACTAGTATATGACATAGTAACTTCCAGGACAGCCAGGGCTACACAGAGAGATTCCATCTCAAAATAAAGTAAAAGACTGTTTAAAAGTCCAAAGTCTTTCAGAGGCTCAAGGCAACATCTTATTTGTAAGCCCTAAAACATAAAATTTTAAATTATATACTTCTAACATACAATGGTACAGAGTTGGAGTAGCTTTATGGAGCACAGGCCTGGGCTGGAATGCCACATCTGCCAGTAGTGTGGCCAGGCAGGGTGAGACAATAACATCATATGGAGATGTTAGCAGCTCACAGAGCTCCTGGCAGATAGAAGGAGGATTAGAAGAAGCCCTTACAGAGAGGTCCAGCAGCTCCAGGGCAGATGATCTGTTGTTCCGGATGGACTTAAGGAGACTGACGTATCCTTCAATTCGAATGGGATTCTTGGAAATCTAAGAAAGATGAATACACTAGAATACTAGAGCCTCTTTATGGGGACCCATGCCCATGATCCCCCTGCTCAGGAGGTAAAAGTTGGAGAATTCAAGGTTCAAGACTACTTACCAAGTTAAGAGGCTACTAGGGGCTGGAGAGATGGCTCAATGGCTAAAAGAACACTGGCCTCTTTTCCAGAGGACCTGAGTTCAATTCCCAGCACCCACATAGTGGCTCTCACCTGTCTATAACACTAATCTCAGGGGATCTGACGGCACTAGGTATATATGTGGTGCACAGACACACATGCAAGCAAAACACTCAAACATAAATAAAAGTTTAAAACAATACAAGAAAGAAAAGTGCCGGAGAGGTGGCCCAGCAGTTAAGACACTTGCTTCTCTTATAGAGGATCCAGGTTCAGTACCAAGCATCCTCATGGGGTGGGGGGTGGCGGGCAGCTTCAGTTCCAGGGGATCTGGTGCCCTGCTACATCTATACATGCAGGCACACATGCATGTAAAAACAAAACAAACAAAAAAAACCCTAAAACAACAATAGTAAAAAGAAGGTTCACAGCAGAAAGATCACCAGGTGTTGGGTGAACTAGGTCAAGGGGACCCAAGGACAGGAGGTGAGAAGAGAGAGGACCCAGCAAGGAACTCTGCAGATGCAGAGGTGAGCTGTGAACCCCAACCCCCGAAGAAGTGGGGGGTTCATCCAGGTGGGGTTCTGAGACTCACTGTGACCTGGAGATTGTCTAACAGATGGTTAGAAGCATGCCCCCAAGCTTGAAACAGGTCTTGGTTCCTATGACACAGGAGATGGAATTGTCCCCTCCCCTGCACACGTTGGCACAGCTGGGACCTGATCACCTTACCTGGCTCCTTCCCTTCTGTCTTCGCTATCACCCTGTCTAGTGCCCACTCACCCTCTGCAAACCTGAGGAAAGGAACCTCTGAACACAAAAAACCTCGGCATGTCTAAACTGTGGCCAGTCAGTACCCCTGAGCTGGCCCTGGGTTTTATCGAGGACAACCCAAGTCCAGAGGAGAAGATGAAAATGAATTAGGATGTGCTGGCTACCTTTCCCACAACGGAACTACTGTGAACAGGAGAAAGGACCCAAGGAATTGTCACAGCCACTGGGAAAAGGGTGGGAAGGAAGAGTCAGGGATTGGGAGTGGTCACAAGAAGCTAGGGGGTCTCCCCCCCAGAAATGCCCATGTGCTGTCTCTTCAGCAGGTGGGGGAAAGGATTGTAGGAAGAGAGACAGGGCAAGTCTGTGTTGGAACCACGTTTGAACTTACAATAAGAATTCGCAGTGTCTGGTTGACTTGCAGACCCAGCCCCAACCTCAAGGCCCCTGTCATAGAGATTCGGTTGTTTCTGCAACAAGAGAGGCATAGGCATCAGGGTTAATCAGCCTAGGTATGGTATCTACAGTAGAGTCTATTCAGTCACGGAGAAAGAAGCACTGTATCATTTGAAGCAAATGGGTGGAACAGGGGCATTATGTTAAGTGAGATAAGCCAGACAGAAAGCCCAGAAAAGCTTTCTCTCTTACACAAACGCTACCAACAACAACAGCCTGGAAAAAATACTAGTAATTATTAGAGATCAGGAAGGATATGAAGAGGAGAAAAGTAAAAATAAATAAATAAAGGGAGGCTAGATGGGGCAGTACACTCTGCAGGCGTGTATGAAACCATCACATCTAACCCCATTAACAAGGTTAGTAAAAAATGACGTCAGTATTACAGCTTTCCAGCTTTCAGGGCTCAGTGCCTCAGAGCCCTGACTGCCTGAGTTGCATCTGGAAGACTGGGTTCCATAGCCCAGCCTTCTACTCATGCCCAGGTCCAGTCAATATCTGAAGCATGGGTATGCTTTGCCCCATGGGTGACAAGCACGTTTGGAGTGTGGCCCCTCTCGTGGACATAAGGGGATGCTAGCTCCTAGGTTCCTTGGGCTCGGAAGATGCTCCCGTGTGTCTTGTGCCCACTGGCAAAACATACCCATTACCACAACATTTGCTCTGGAACCCGGTCCTTTCTCCCCTCCAAATCATTGTCTCTGAAGCCAGGTCTACATACCTAATCCTGACTTCCTCGTCCTGTTTTGTTTTGTTTCCTTTTTCTTAAGATAGAATGTGCTGGGTGGTGGTGGCAGAGACAGAGGCGGGAGGCAGAGGCAGGCAGATCTCTGAATTCGAGGCCAGCCTGGTCCACAGAGTGAGTTCCAGAACAGCCAGGGCAACACGGAGAAACCCTGTCTCAAAAAAAAAAAAAAAAAAAGAAAAAGAAAAGAAAAGAAAAAAGGCAGTCTTATGCATTCCAGATGTAACTCCTGTATAGCTGAGGATGACCTTGAACTCTTGATTTTTTCCTCCCTCTACTTTGTAAGCACTGGGTTTACAGGTGTGGAAAACATGGAGTGCTGTGGGAAGAGCTTATCAGGTAGTTCTTGAGGATGCTTGAAAGATAGTAGCGCTGAAACACCAGCCACAATGACACCTAGATCACATTCCAGAAAGGAGCAAAGACTTGATAGCTAGTTGGAATTTTTGGCTAAAACCCTGTGTGTGCTGATCTGCTGGGGCTGAAGAATCAGCTGGGATTTTAATAGATCAGCACCCTTAAGGCACGACTTGTGTATCTCGGGGACAAAAGGGAAGTGTCTCCCAGGGTCGGCACCAGAGGTTAATCTAAGGAGGCCAGGCTACATCTCGTGTAGATGGAAGCTGTCAGAACTTGGTAATGTCCATAGTGGAGTCCGTGTAGAACTGGTTCTGAAAGCATGGGAGATGCATGATGGATGAAGTCACGGAGAGTAGGGAGACATGGCTCGGTGCATCAGGGTGAGGCCCGAAAGGACCACTGATGAAGTGGAGGCCTCAGTTGCAGTGGAGACCACAGGATATTTGAAATGTCTGGACCGGGATGCCCGTCAAGATGCAGGTGTGGCGTGGAGCCAGTCTAGGAAGACAGCTGCAGAATGCAGAGATGGAGCTACCTAAACCCTCGGGGCCCCAAGATGATGAATCTTAAACAGTGGACACAGCTACAGGATTGGATTCACACAGCCGAATTTTATTTTTGTTTAAGTCTGATTGTTTTTAATCTCTCAGTTCTTCCCACTTGGAATAAGAATGTTTAAGTATGTAGCTTGCTTTTGACTCTAAGAATCCAGCAACCCACTCTGGATTCTTACAGTCCTTTTTATGTTTGTTTGTTTGCTTGTTTGAATGCAAGTACCTGAGGAGTTCAGAAAGAGGCTGTCAGGACCCGCTGAAGCCGGAGTTGCAGGCAGTTGTGAGCCATCTGATGTGGGTGCTGAGAACCCAAACTTGGGTCTTCTGAAAGAGCAGTACACGCTCTGAGTCCCTAAACCATCTCTCCATGCCCAAGAGACTGCATTTTCAAGGAGGCTTTTTTGCTCATGTGTTGTTTTTCAAGACAGGGTTTCTCTGTGTAGCCCTGGCTGTCCTGGAACTCACTTTGTACACCAGGATGGCTTCAAACTCAGAGATCCTCCTGCCTCTGCCTCCCGAGTGCTGGGATTAAAGGTGTGCACCACCAGCACCCAGCCGAGACTTTGAACTTTCAAAGAGATCTTGGGACTTGAAGTGTGGAATTTTAAAAATCATGTATATTACCATTTTGCCTGCATGTGTGTGCATGGACCACATGTATACCTGGTTCCCATGGAGATCAGAAAGGGCATCAGATGCCCTGGAACTAGAGTTCTGGATTATTGTGAGCTACCATGTGGGCACTGGGAACCTCTGCAAGAACAACAAATGCTCTTAATCCTGAGCCATCTCTCCAGCCCCTGAAGTGCTGTAATTGTTTTTTGTTTGTTTGGTTTTTGTTTGTTTGTTTGTTTGTTTCGAGACAGGGTTTCTCTGTGGCTTTCGAAACTGTCCTAGAACTCACTCTGTAGACCAGGCTGGTCTCAAACTCACAAACATTCACCTGCCTCTGCCTCCGGAGTGCTGGGATTAAAGCAGTGCACCACCAATGCCCAGCAGTGCTGTAATTTTTAAGGACTGTATTTTACATTGTAAACATGAGGCCTTGGGGACCAAGGCTGGGAAATTATAGCTTAAAGTATTTGTGTCATGTTAACAAAGGATGGTTGTGTTGGTCAGTTTTATTGTCAGTTTGACACAATCTAGAATTAATTACCTGGAAGAGAGTCCCAATGAGTAGGAATTCTCTAGATCACATTGGCCTACAGCATGTCTTTGGGAATTGTCTTGACTGTTAATTGAAGCAGGAGGACTACCACTGTTTAATGGCAGAAGCTGTGAAGACAGCAGCAAGCCCCAACATAGAGAACACATTGCTCTCGCTCTTGACTGTGCCTGACTTGCCTGAAATGCTGACGTCTAACCTGCACTGTAAGATGGATAAGCCCTTCCTCTTTTAAAAGCAGCTTTTGGTCACAGTGTTTCGTCTCAGCAACAGAAGTGAAATGAGGAGTAAGAGGCCACTCCTGATTTATGTGGTGTGGAGACATGAACCCACAGCCTTTGGGCACGCTAGATCACCATTCTACCAGCTTAGCCACAACCCCAGCCCCCAGCAACAGCAGTGAGTGAGGACAGAGAGGAGCCTCAAGCCACACGACCCGAGCAGCGTGAACAGCATCTAGGTCACTGTGTGGCCCTGAGAGCAGTGTGAACAGGATCGAGGTCACTGTGTGGCTCTGAGAACAGTGTGAACAGCATCCAGGTCACTGTGTGTCCCTGAGAGAAGTGTGAACAGGATCGAGGTCACTGTGTGGCCCTGAGAGCAGCGTGAACAGCATCCGGGTCACTGTGTGAACAGCATCCGGGTCACTGTGTGGACAGCATCCGGGTCACTGTGTGGACAGCATCCGGGTCACTGTGTGTCCCTGAGAGCAGTGTGAACAACATCCGGGTCACTGTGTGTCCCCGAGAGCAGCATGAACAGCATCCGGGTCACTGTGTGTCCCTGAGAGCAGGGCCCTCGCTTCTCACCTCATGTTTAGTTCTTCCAACACGTTGTTGGCCTTGAGGGCCTCACCTATTGAAGAGGCTCCAGAGTCTCCAAAGCCATTATGAGAGATGTCTAGGACTTTCAAGAATATATTTGCCTAGGACACAAAGAACAAAAGCCGTGAGTTCACAGCTGATGGTGCAGACATCCACAGGGCCAGCCAGGGCCATAGCCTCAGAGCCCAGGAGAGCCTGAGCAATAACAAAAGACAGGGAGCAGAGGGCCTAGGACAGAGTTAGCATGAGCTCTCAGGCAACATGACCAGTAGGGCCAAACAACTGGAAGAGCAGCAGAGGATGGTGGGTAGAGCTATGGACAGTTCTCAGAGATGATCGAATCCACACTTACAGGCAAATTCCCAAGGCAGGCATCCTGGGAGAGATACCTGCGGGGGCCCAGTGACCCGGTGGCAGGGTGCTATAAGAAGAGACTGTGATGAAAAAAGCGTGAGTGCTCTGACTGGCCTGACCCTTTTGGGGCAGGACTACCCCCTCCACCCCACAGCCAGCAGTCAGCCCCTGGCAGGGCTTGAGACAGCTGTTTCCCAATCTATAAACTGAGAGTGTGTACTGGCACACAAGAAAAGCATCTCTGTGTGTTACCAATGTCATCAGACTGTACAGATGCCCCTATCGGCTGAAGGTGATGTCTCGGAGGCAGCTGACATTTGTCTATAGACCCTTTGGGAAATGATACGAGAGTCAGTGCAGTATACTACCATTTAGTGGGGTAGGAAAATAGGTCATCCAAGATGCATCGTGAAAGTTGTCCCGGAAAGGGCTAAAGTTCATTTCTGAAGAGCTGTAGCATTAAGAACTCGCTTGGGGAAACTTCCCCAAAGTTCAGGCAGGCTCTGAGGACTGAGCAGGCAAGCGTCTCATACCTCCAGGCCCTTGGCAAGTGCAATGGCTCCTGGGCCTCGAAGATGATTCCAACTGAGGTTAAGCTCTGTGAGTCCTGTGTTTTCTGCCAAGGCAGGTCCAAGCGTCTCTCCTGAGGAGCACGAAGAGATTTTTATGGCAAAAAATGCTAAGTCCAAAAATGACCTGACGCTCACTATGTGCCAGGGCTTCTGCTGAGTAGGAGGGTCACGAAATTCAGCACACACCTGGATTACCTGCAAGGGACGTGTGTGCACATGCTCACACATGTATGTGCATACACTGGAACAGGGTCTTGTTCTACAACACAGACAGGTCTAGAACTCACTCTGTCACCTGGACTGGCCTTGATCATCTCGATGCCCAGCAAGGAATCCACAGATAGTTGGGAAGATATGGATTCAAAGTAATGAGATTCCAACTATTCTAATCCACAAACAAAAGGGTAGAGATGCCGTGGCAGTGCTGGTGGGGTCTAGAAGTAAGGGCAGAGCAGATAACCTAGAGTCAAGGAACCCACATGTATGCGCACATGATGGACATCAGGGGTGCACATGTGGTGGACAACAGGGATGCACACTTGACAGGTGTTCACATGATGGACAAGAGGGATGTGCACATGATAGGTGTTCACATGATGGACAATAGGGATGCGCACATGATAGGTGTTCACATGGTGGAAAATAGTCATGCTCACATGATGGACAACAGGGATGTGCACATGATGGACAACAGGGATGCACACATGATGGACAACAGGGATGTGCACATGATAGGTGTTCACATGATGGACAATAGGGATGCCACACATGATAGGTGCTCACATGATGGACAACAGGGATGCTCACATGACAGGTGTTCACATTATGGACAACAGGGATGCTCGCATGATGAACAACAGGGATGCTCACATGATGGACAACAGGGATGCACACATGATAGGTGTTCACATGATGGACAACAGGGAGGGATGCACACATGATAGGTGTTCACATGATGGACAACAGGGATGCTCACATGATGGACAACAGGGATGCACACATGATAGGTGTTCACATGATGGACAACAGGGATGCTCACATGGTGGGCAACAGGCATGTGCAGTGAAACTGGGTTGATGCTGGAGCTGGGGACAGGCAGGAGGAAGCAGGTGCAATGATGTAGGAAGTAAGTAAGGGCACTTGAGAGACCTTGAATGCTAAGCTGTGTGCTCAGGTACTGCTCTACGTGTGGCTAAGCAGCTGCTGTAAGAGCCATGAGGCTGATGGAGCATTCCAGCAGGATTCCTATTGGCTGGTGGGCACCAGCAGAGACATGGCCCACCAAGTCTGGAGTAGCTGTGTGGAAAAGTAACGAGACATTCAAGTTCTAGCCTTGGTGCTCTCTCAGGGTCCAGGCTAGGGGCTAGACAGCAGGTGAGTACGGTTTTCTAAAAGGAATCTGAAAGTGAGAGGGAAATAAACTGGCTCACACACATGTTCGTCTCATGGCTCGTTAGTTTTCAAAGATGTAGGCTTCCCAAAAAAGTTCTCTCTCAAAATCTCTCTTTAAGATTTCTCCCTAAAAGCTCTCTCCTCAAAAGTTCTCTCTCGAAAAGCTCTAAGATTTCTCTCTGAAAGTCATTTAAAATTCTCCAAAGTTCTTTCTGAAAAGACTCCAGCCGAGCGGGGTGTTGATCCCAGCACTCAGGAGGCAGAGGCAGGCGGATCTTTGTGAGTTTGAGGCCCGCCTGAGGGAGTGCCAGGATAGGCTCCAAAGCTACACAGAGAAACCCTGTCTCAAAAAACAAAACAACAAAACAAACAAACAAACAAAACTCCAAAAGTTGCTTCTTCTAAAAGTTCTCCTGAGGTCTCTCCTATTCTACAAGACTTCTAGTTTTTATACCACAGGCATATTTAACAACTGACAATAGGGCACGCATATGTCTCAGCCAGGAAGTTGGGTAAGATCTTGAGAAAAGCAGGTGCCTCGTGTGGCTCCCCTGGACACGACTGGCAAAACATCCTGGCAAACTTAAGTCTGGGGGTGGGGTGTGACTTGTGACTTGCTGTTAATTAATTAAGGGGGGCTTCTCACTACTATGTCAAAGGGAAAAACTAAGGCTAAGTAGTGTGAGATCCAGAGGCTGCTGCTCTTACTGCTGACGGCCCGGTGAGAAGGAATCTCCTTTTTCTGGGGTCTATTTGAGAATATAAAGCACCCAGTATATATTCTACATAATCAAATTCATAGTAATAAATATTCTGGAGTTGATACCTAGAATATTAATTGCTACTTCTGTAATAAATGATAAAAGCTTCCAACAAAAAAGAGGCAGGAAGTGAGTGGAACCCCGAGAAATACCTAGCATGACAAGTGGCCGGGACACACACACCTTACAGCCAGCTCTCCATTCTGTGAGCACTGCTGGGTGTGACCAGCTGCCATTTCTCTACAGCCTCAGTCCATCCCTGCCCCAGTGCGGCTCTCCATGTTGTAACCCAGCATCCATCTGGCCAACCATGTCTCAGTCTCACAGCTTGGGTGTGTAGACTCAGGAAGCCTCACCTGTCTCTGCAGGCTTGGTGGGTCCTTCAGTACCCATGTTTACTGCCCTTCCACCTCCTACTCTAGGCTTGTGACCACTTACAGTACCCCCGACTCCAAACTCACTCTCTGCCTGGTTCATCTCTGTACCTGGATTGGAACCCTTGAGGACTCAAATTTGGCCTCTTTTCGTTATCTTGGAAGCTAGAACAGAAAATCTGGTTTGAAGTGCTCAGAGGGGCTAAGTGTAGCAGTCCTCTCCTATAATCCCAGCATCCAAGAGGCTGAGGCAGGAGGAGCCTTAGTTCAAGGCCAGTCTGAACGATGTAGTGAATTCCAAGCACCCAGGGCTGCATAGTGAGACCCAGCCCCCAAAACCAAATCAAACCGAACCGAATCAAACCAAGGAAGTGTGTGTCTGTGTGTGCAGGCCCCAAGCCTGAGTGCCCCCAGCCACCTGCTTGGCTAGCACATGCAGCAGCAAACATATTAGCACCTATGCCACAACTAAGGTTTTGGGCATTGTCTCGCATCCCGGACTGGACCTGATACCTCTAGGTTCTCAGGTAAAGGGTCTCCTGGGAGAGGACACTGGGTGTCCTCTGGTTCCTCTTTTCTGCTTAAGGGTGAGGCTTGCTCTTCTTCTGGACCTTAATGGCAACTCTACCTCTGTGACTCAACCATCCTATGATGCACACACCTGTGGTGGCTTCTCCACTGCCACAGACGGTGCATGACTGAGACTCAAGTCCCTTGGCCCCTCAGGAACAACCTTCAACGATCCCCTCTTGGAGAAAGGAAGCAGACTGAATCTGTGATTCCCCTTTCCCCCTGGCATACCCTCAGAGAGCTTCAGACCCCAGGTCCCACTGCCTGCTATAGTCTGTAACATGTTTGATAACACACCCCAAGGTCCTTGTATGCTTTCAAGGCGTGGTCCCTGGGGCTGGAGAGATGACTCTGCACTGCATGTCCCGGCAGAGAGTCCAGGTTTGGCTCCCAGCACACACATGGCAGCTCTCAGCCGACTGTAACTCCTGTTCTGTGGACCTGATGCTATCTTCTGTCCTCCATGGGCACTGACACATACATACGAAATTAAATGAAGTCTATTCTTGGTCCCTAAGACTGGGATGTGGCAGATGACATTATCTAAAGGTCCTAGGCCACTGGGGGTTCACTTGAGGGAACTGTATGATCCTAGTCTCTCCCTCTTGCTTTTTTGCTTCCAGACCATAAGTTGAGTGGCTTTTTTTTTTTTTTTTTTTGCTCAGCCACAGGCCCAGTCCATCAAAGGATGAAATCTCCAAAACTATGAGCCCAGATGTAAGATGGTTGTCTGAGGTATTCGCTACAGTAATAGCAAGCCGGCTCTTATTCTCAAAGACATAGCCCCAGTTTGTTAGTTCCACTGGTTTCCTACGATAGTTTTCTTAGAGGACAATTGGCTTCAGCAGTTAAACTCCAGGGCGGAGGTTAGTGTCACTCCACTCAATTATCTGGGACAGACCAGAAATTCCAAAACTCCTGGTTGGACCGCTGTCCTGGGGCAATACAATGCAGATAGATGGGCGTCTAAGAATCTGTGTCAGGTGCTGGAGAAGTGGCTAAGCAGCTAAGGGCACCAGCTGCTCTTCCAGAGGACCTGAGTTCAGTTCCCAGCACTGGGTGGCCCCCAACTATCTGTGACTCCAACTGTGGAGGATGGGATGTCCTCTTCTAGCCTACACAGGCACCCACACATACTTGACACATTTACATAAATAAAAATAAACCTTTAAAGAGAAGATTTTGCTTCAGTCAATCCAGATGACAGAAACTCCTAAAGCAGGGCCCAGGTGACCTTTCCATGCTGCCAAGCTGCCCCCAAGTTTCTGGGCTCAACTGATCTTCCAAGTAGTGGAGCCTATAGGCATACATAGCTTCAATTTGTGTAACTGACTGGCACATTTAGAGATGAGTGACGTAGGTGGGTATTGGAATCCTGGGAAAGCATACGGCCCATGCAGAGGCCCCGGGGAGACAATGACTGAATCAAGTAGCCTATCCATGTCGTTCATAGCACTTAGCTTCCCCCCAGCTGCACAGTACTGTTGACTGAACCCAAGATCTCTCACACACTAGACAAGCACTTTACCACTGAGCTATACCACAAGCCCTTTTACCAAAGCACTTGGAATGAAGCCTTCATACCTCCAGCAGTGATCTGCAGGCCATGTAGTCTCTGCTTCCTTTTCAAACCACAGCCTGGGCATTCTCCCCTGGATCACCCGCCCAGCCACACCGGTGTCTACCAATCTAGGAAATACACCACACTCACAGTTCATCAGCACCGTGCTCTTGCCATGGCTGACTCCTTTCCACCCCACACACAGATTTCAGTTTAAAGACCCACCCCGCTACAGCACGTGGTCTATTATTTTCTAGGACCATACATTTCCTCCCTCCCTCCCTCCCTCATTCCCTCCCTCTCTCTTTCTGAGACAGGGTTTCTCTGTGTAGCTTTGGAGGCTGTCCTGGCACTCCCTCTGTAGACCAGGCTGGCCTCGAACTCACAGAGATCCACCTGCCTCTGCCTCCCGAGCGCTGGGATTAAAGGCGTGAGCCACGGCTGCCCACTGGTTACTAAGCGCCACTGATTACTAAGAATGGTCTTGTTAGTGTATGTCTCTTGAAGTCGGGAGCTTTTTTGTTTGTAGTTAGATCCCCACAGCAGAAGGCAGTGAGAAATGCCTGGAATTAAGGATTCTGTGTGGTTTGAGCGGAAGAACAACCAAGAGAGGTGTGGTGAACAGATGCCAGCACGTCAATATTTCTGGCGGAAGCTGGGTGTGGCCCTGCCCATCCCCCTCCCCTGCCACCAGTGGGCAGTGGGTGCTCATGACTGCCCAGACTAAGTATTACCTGCCAGGTCATTGAGCTGGTTATAGCTGAGGTCTAGGGACTGCAGGCTCGTGTGCCGCAGCAGAAGAGCAGCAAGGTGCTGGGCGGCCTTCTCCTCCAGCCTGTTCCCTCCCAGCTGCATCTTCTGCACAGCTGGGTTTACGGCAAGAGCAGCACAGAGAGCCTGGAGCCCTGCAGCTCCAATCTGGTTCTCTGACAGGTCCACATCTGAGGGCAGCACCACCGCTTGGTCAGTGGGAACCTCGGCCAGGCACCACCCTCTTGCACTTCCCTACACCCCCTAAGCCCCAGGTCTGAGGCAAAAGAAACTGAGTCACCTCGGGCCACTGGTCTCCCCATCCCATGACTGTTTGTCTGTGAAGAGTGCCTGGGAGATGGTCAGCTGCCTTGTTGATGATTGGTGTCTCATAACAACATAACCTCTCTCAGAAGCCTGTCCTACTGCTAGGGAGTAGCACACTCGGGCAGTGTGAGCTCAGGAGTTCACTCAGGTTGACTTCTGTGGTTTCCTTTCATGCTGGCCACAGTCCAGAGAGCTTAGTGGTGCTGCTGTGGTGATTTTAGAGATGGAAAGCAGGTCCAGCAGAGCGGTGTTGCCTGCCTGGGTCAGCTCACACTTCATTGGCAGAGCTGTCATCTACAAACAGCCTCACCCAGCTCCCACCTACCCCTTCCCATTCTCAGTTGATGGCGACCCTGCTTCTGCGCGCCTCTCTCACTTGCACTCAGGCACAGGGAGTCTACCATGTTCAGGGGTGAGGTGCTCACCAGGGAGACAGCTGTGGGGATGGGCCAGGCATTCAGCATTGGCTACCCCAAAGAGGAAACTCCCAGAAAGTGAAACTCACCCCACATGCCACACCCTGTGATGGGGGCCTTCCTCATCTCCTAGCAACAGCCACGTGAGAGGGCCCAGTGAGGGAGCACTCTCCTGAGGAAAGAGGGGCCCCAAGCGTGCCTGCTGCTCAGACTCAGGAACTCAGCACCTACCTACCAGAGATAATGCTGTTCTTACACAGGACATCAGCCAGAGCCTCCGCCCCGGCAACACAGAGCCCATTGTCCCGAAGATCCAGACGCTTGATGTAGACATTAGAGGTCAACATGGGAGCCAGAGCCCGGGCCCCCTGGAACAGAGCAGAGAGGTACAAGGGGCAGAGGCGCACAAGGCCCTGAGGGGTCTGGTCCTCCCCAGATGCAGTTTAAATCCCCAGAGCTCCCATCTCCCTCTAAGTGCAACTTAGACCTCATTTTCTAGAACCTTCTTGCAAAAGCAGCCCTCATCTCTGCCATAGCCTCCATCCTGTCTTGCAGACGTGGGAGATGGGACGTGCATGGCACGGAGGAAGGCTGTGAGTTTGTGAAAAGGATTCAAGGACAAGATGGCCACTGTCTCCCACATCCTTCCTGGTTCCAGTGCCCCTCACGGATACCTGGGGCCCCAGGCCACGGTGGCGAAGGTTCAATTCAGAGGCACTCCCTTGGCGCAGAAGACAAGAAGCCGGCACAACACTAAGGGCCTGGCAAGACTCCAAATAAAGGGCAGCCGTGACCGGTTCTCCAAGACTATGGGTGCCTAACAGCAGACGGGGGGGGGGGGGGGGTATGAAGGAAGAGCTCTACATTGGCCCCACCCCGCCCCTTTTCCTGCCCTTGCCATTTCCTCCTGCATCAGTGGGTACTGCACTCGTGTCCTAGATGAGGACCTCCTGGCTAAGAGTCTTCTCGAAGTCACAGAGGTAGTCAGAACCCATTGCTGAAGTGTACGCTGCCCCCACCCCATCGGGCCCAGGTATCACAGATCACATTCCCCCCCGCCAAAGTTGGCTTCCAACTTGTTGGCTGAAAAGAGCATTGAATCCAAGGCTTCAAGCATGCTAGGCAAGCACTCCAACTAAGCTACATTCTCACCCCCAGGTCTTAATGTCTACAATCGACTTATGGTGTTTAATAATTCTAAAATAACTCTAAACAGTTCTAAACTCAATACATCCCTTAGCTAAGTTTTCCTATAGTTTGTTAGAGTGCTTCATTTACAGATTATTCTGCAAGACAGTTCTAAGCATTGGGCTGCCTCATGCCTCCGCGAGAACAAGGGACTTGGGGAATTATCAGCGGCTGATAATGGGACATGAGGCAGCCCAAGCATGGGGTCCCACTCCAGCGGACCGCAGGGGTGCTGGAGGAGTTTAACCAGGACCCCACGCGGAGGATGAGGCACCTTCTGTTTCCAGAGCAAAGCGTGAATCTGCGGTCCAGAAATTCTCTGCCTTACACGCAGTGGCCGCTACTTCTCCCTGTTGATCTTCATTCTTTGCAGACGATTTACAGGGACCCTTCATGTTTACCCTCACTTCCCAGTCGGGGCACAGAAACTGAGAGTGCACAGCTCACTGCCTGGAACGTTTCCCAGGGATGTGGGCGGGTCCTCTGACCCCACTGGCCAATCGAATTTGATTTACGGGCAACAGGTGGTCCCTGGGGCCAGTAATGATGCTCCCCTCCCACCCAGAGATCTCCCCGGGAACCGGGTGTTGTTTGTGGCTGCCGCAGCGCCACGACCTTGGTATGCTCTTCACCAGGGCAGACTAGGGCACAACCGCCAAGCAGAGGAGGGTGGGAGGGATGTGGGGGGTGGGAGGGGCGTGGGGGGTATGGTCACCTCCTCCCTGTTCTTTTCATGGACTTTTCTGGTCTGACTCTAGAGCTTGTGCAGGAGGAGACTCTAAGGAAGACCTAAGTAAGGACCCTGTAGAGTCTAGCAAAAGTTTTTCTCTAGAGCCACAACAGTAATGTCCCTGCCCGAGGGTCTTAGCTTCCTCTCAAGATCTAGTCTTTGCTGTGCTACTGCACCGGCGGGGACATCCCAAACCTGACTTGCCCTGTTGCACTTTGGAATATGCCAGTTTGAGCTCAGAGCCTCTCTGAGCTTCTGTTACCCCACGTTGGTCACAGCCCACCCTATAAAGAAGTGGAGTGGATGGGCAGGGACAGGACTACTCCTCTCTGTATGCATAGGGTCCAACCCAGGGACTCCAGGTGGGATGGGAGGCCTAGATCAGCTGGAGTTTGGGACTGAGCCAGGAGCCAGATCCTGCCGAATGGAGATGTCCCTTTAACACTGGCCTGGATCCATGCACGGCTGTTCTGCCTGCTGCAGTTCAGCTAAAGCTGCCTGCTGACTCATGCACTAGCGGCCAGCAGGAACTGGGAACATGGCTTCTGCTGCCGTGGCAGCACTTGTGGGCTGGGGGTTTCTGGATTACAAGACAGAGAAGTACGTGATGACTAGAAACTGCCGGGTGGGCGTCTCTCAGAGGCTGCTGCAGCTAGGAGTGGTGGCCTACGTGATAGGGTAAGAGCAGCCCTTTGCCAGGCTAGCTGCAGAGGCTGCTGTTGGCCTTGCTGGTGGAGGGCTAGAAATGGGCTTTTTAGAATTCCAGCTGGTGGGTGAGTGGGAATGGGGGTGGTGAGAGGTGGCTGGTAGGAGGGATTTTAATCCATTTAGAAGACAGCAGAAGCCATGTGCACACATGAGGGACATTGTTCCCAGCATCATCTTGGTCTCTGGTCTCTGTGTGTGTCTGCAGTACTCCTGCCCAGAGACACCCTGGTGGGGCGGGGAGGTGGTAATTCTTGGCCTGTGTGAGCAATGGAACACTAAGGCTCCCAAAGGGACCGCTAGCTGGATGTCTGAAGTGACTTAAAGGGCTGAGCTGGGTGTGCAGAGTGTATGGGAGGCATTGGCATGTGAAAAGTGACCAGATGGACAGCTCCATCTGAGGGCTCCACCTGCTCGGCCCTCGGTGCTGATCTGGGGGTCTCTGAAGTATACCAAGACAGCCTAGTGTTATAGGCCTTGTAACATTACACTGTCCATCCATCACCTTCTACCTAGGTGGGCTCTCTTGGCCAAAAAAGGTTACCAGGAATGGGACTTGGACCCCCAGATTTCTGTCATCACTAAACTCAAAGGGGTTTCTGTAACCCAGATTAAGGAACTAGAGGACCGAATATGGGATGTGGCTGACTTTGTGAAGCCACCACAGGTAGGTCCCCAGTGCTGTGACAGGAGACCTGCCTCATAGCGGCTGTGCATGAGAGACAGGATACCTGTGGTGCAGAGGGTGGGGGAAAGGCTTGGGAAAGGGCAAGGGCCTCTCAGGAAACTGCTGAGTCAATCTGAGCAAATGACTTCCTAAGCCGGGAAGCCGGTGCCCATGGAACTTCCTTTTAAAAGGAAGGTTAGAAATATAGCTTAGTGGCAGAGTACTTGCCTGGCGCACACAGCTTCCTGGGTTCAATTCCTAAGACCATCAAGAAAAAAACCCCACCCACACCAAGATAAACCACCCCACCCACTCACCACCCACACCAAGATAAAAACACCTACCCACTCACCACCCACACAAAGATAAACCACCCCACTTACCCACCACCCACACAAAGATAAAACCACCCCACCTACCCACCTCCCACACAAAGATAAAAACATCCACCCACTCACCACCTACACAAAGATACTCCTGCAAAGGACTGAAATATCTTGGACATAGGATTTATGCTTTGGAAGGGAAAGGTAGGGCACCGAGTTCAGGGTTTGAACTTGTTTTTTTGTTTTGTTTTTGTTTTTAAGACAGGGTTTCTCTGTGGCTTTGGAAACTGTCCTGGAACTAGCTCTTGTAGACCAAGCTGGTCTCGAAATCACAGAGATTTGCCTGCCTCTGCCTCCTGGGTGCTGGAATTAAAGGCGTACACCACTGCCCGGTGGGTTTGAACTTTCTGAAGTCCCCTTGTTACCATTTAGGGATCTTGGATCAGGTTCAGTTTCTCCATTGGTGAAAAATGTAAAAGGCAGGGTTGGAGCAGTGGCTCAGAGGTTAAGAGCACTGGCTGCTCTTGCAGAGGCTATGGGTTCTGATCATCACAACTTTCTGTCACTCCAGTTCCAGGAGAGTTCGAGTGCCCTCTTCTGGCCTCTGAGGCACCAGGCACACAAACAGCACATATACTTTATACATGTTAAATAATTAAATAAAACTGCTCAGCAAAAGAATTAAAAGGCATGAAGTAAATCACAGTCACAGCAGATAAGTGTTATTAAAAGTGAGCGGGCAAACACCACACACAGGCTTCCAGCACAGGAAAGGGGATCCAGAAACCGAAGTCTATTCTCCCTTGGAGGGTTGCTGGCCTTAATTGTTTGTGGTGGTGTAAGATGGGCCCCTGCTCCTGAATTTTGGATGCTCAACTCAAAATAGGGAGCTGACAGGCCCATAGGTTCATACAAGCTGAGAAATGTTCAGGACCAGTGCTGACTGGTCTAGACCATTCATCCAGAGGCGATCCCTTCTGGCAGGAAAAACCGTAAGCTCACCAGGTCTTCATCTTGGATAGGTGTGGTGAGGAAGAATCTGGGAGTTTGTCATCTTGTGGTTGATGCATGGCCCCTTTTCCTATCTTTGCCTGTCAGGGTACAATCTAGCTCCTCTCACCCACAATTCTCATCTTCCCTTCTCCCTCCACCTAGCCGATATGAGTTCAATAGCCAGCAGCTGTGCCACATTTCCCGAGGAGACATAAACAAATGTCTGTATACCTCACCTATTGCACCAACAATGGGCCAATTTCATTCCAAATTAGTTCTGTGAGCTAGTCAGTAATTGCGGTTACCTATAAGCATAGTAAGTGAGGGGTGACTCAAAGGTAGCTATGTCGGCTCGACCGGCTCGACCATTTTTTGGCTCCAGGTGGCGCTAGCTTTCTGTGCAAGCACTCCCTTGCCAGACTGTTAGGACTGTGATCAATGTCCTCCACTGTCCCCACTTTCTAGCTTCAATATCTAGCTTCAGGGGGTTCTTGAAATTTTTGGCTAAGTACATGAGAATTTGAAATGAAACTTGTATGAACGTTATGGATAGAGGCATGACACTTCCCTGGTCTCAGGAAAGGCCACAAACCCTTTGCCTGCCTTGCTGGTCACCACTTTCTGTAGCACAAACTTGGTAACTAGATAGGGCTGAGAAGCAGTCCCACGAAATCCAGGCTACCAGGCTGAGCTCCTACCTCAGCAGTAGAGCACTAGCATGCCTGAGATCTCAAGTTCCATTCCCAGCACTGACAGCAACAGAAAGCAAACAAAACAGACTTCAGCTTCTAGCCCCTCAGCTGCTGGAGTTCAGCCAAGGCCAACCTCCAGCCTTGCCTTCTAGGGAGAGAATGTGTTCTTCCTGGTGACCAATTTCCTCGTGACACCAGCTCAAGTCCAGGGTAGATGCCCAGAGGTAAGTCTCTTCAGAGCCTCTAACACCCCTGCTTCTCTCACAGTCTTGCCTGCTTTCTCCTTCACACGTGGCTCAAGACTCAGTCTGTGCTTGATATATCTGCGCCAGGCAATGGGCCAATCTCTCTAGAAACCATTTAATGGCGTCTTTACATCTGTTGTCCACCAGAAAGACTATCATTCCCATCCAACAGGTGGTTGGGGCTCCACGAGTTTCAGCCACTTGCCCAAAGGTACCCCAAGTGTGGGTTACAGCACCAGACCTCTGAGTGGAGAGAGTTTCCAGTCTTGCAGTCTCTTTCCCATGCTGGCCCTGCCTCTGGCTTCCAACCGGGCACACACCAAGGTGGGCATTAGCAGCAGGGGCAAGCTGGGAGAGCACCTTCCTTGTCTGTGAGTTAGCTTCCATCTGGGGGACAAGCTAGCACACTTCTGCTTTTGCTTTCAGGTCATTTATGATCTCCGGGTGTTTTTCAGCCCAGCTGTGTTCATGTTTGAGTCCTCTGCCTCATTCTTATCTGTTTCCCATGCAGAAAGGCATGCACCCCCCCCCAATCTCACCGTTTCCATTTGGGAATATTCCAGACAGTCTTTCAAAGAGCGCACTAGTTCTCACCAACCATGGCGTTTGTGCGAACAGTTATGACCCCGTCCACATATATGCATCACACCCAAGTCCAACCTTTGCTCAGCTGGGCTCCAGGTTCTGGTATTTGTCACATTACAGTTTCAGGAGACATTACCTCCCCATGGATGACCCCTATCCAAAGGATAATTGTCCCTTTGGGAACCCAGACAATAGCCCACATCCCAATGCTTGGAGAATGTTACATCCGGGTTTAACATGTAGACAACTCTAAAATTTCACCACACCTACAGGTCCACTTCTTAGAAAACACACGGTTATCCTGTTTCCTTGTCTGGGGCTTCTGGCTCGTCCGTGAACCTCCCATGACTGGAAGTAACTCACCAGATCTGATGACCAGATAGCCAGAGTTCCTGCCAGCTCTTCTTGGAAGATTGGTGTCCTGGCCCTCCAAGCACATACTTAATAGGGTGCCACATTCCTCTGCAAAACTTTCGTGAGCCCCTCTCCTCACCCCCCAATCTGGGTCAGCGCCTGTGCTGGGCTGGCAGAACTCCAGCTCCCTGTACCTCAAGTTGCAGCTAAGGTTGTCAAGGTTCCATGATGCCCATGAGGCAGAGGCTGCAGTGAGGAGACTTGGGGAAGTACATGGACCAAATCTTAAAGGAGCTGTTGATCTGAGTCAGTGTGGCTGCAACAGGATGCCAAGGCAGAGGGAACTTCATGGGCAGAGGCCCAGGCTGTATGAAGATTAGGCTGAGGTGTCTCTGGGGATACCTGCTACTTGGTGTGGCTGGAGAATAGATTAGGGCTGGGCCACGAAAGGGACAGCCCAAGATCTCGTGGACCCTCTGAGTCTGCTAACAAGTTGGACTTGATGCATGAGTAGAAGGTAGCCAGAATGGGAGCATGGTAAAGACCCCCTGTTTCATCATTTGGGCTGCCGGGAGAGGTACTTACAGCTCACCATGGAGTCTGGTTGAAGGAGCTGGGGACATAGGCAGACACAGCAAAGCAGAGAAAGTGGCTGTCCTCTGACCTCTGCTACCAATCATAGTTCCACCCTTCACTAAGTCCTGGCTTTTCAGTCCTTCAGTCACTCTTGCTTCCGTGGTGTGGCCTGGAGTCCCTCATGAGCTGAACCCCCATAAGGGTTCCGAAGCTCAAAGCTACCTTTACCTCACAGTGCTCCCCCATGACTCTTTGGCCTTAGTAGACACAAGGTCCATGTTTGGTAGAAAAGACTGGCACCAGTAGGTGTGTGGGGCTTCCTCCCTGTACAGACCCCGTGACCTTAGGCCCTGCTCTTTGACAGCTACACCTATCATGTACTGACCATCTCTAGTGTGTCCTTCTGTGGATCTCTAGCACACACACACACACACACACACACACACACACACACACACACACACACACACACACACACCCCGCTCTGTTATACCAGTTGCACAGAAGAGCTGGACCCCGGCAAACAATCAGGAGCGGAGTTGTCAGGAGAGCAGGAGTCTCGTTTTGCTCTTGGAATACAGCTTGTCACCATCTCACAGGAGGCTGATGACTCTTCCCTCCAGCTTACAGCTTGTGTCTTCCCTGTGCTTCCCAACTCAGGGTACCCTGGGAGGAATCCTCGGGGTTGTGTCTTTGCGGTCTGTGAGGCTGAGTCACAGAGAGGAGACATCTCTGTGACTAGAATCTCTCCTACCTCAGCATCCTTCCGTTCCTCTGGCTAACTGCTGGGCTGATGAGGACTGCCCTGAAGGGGAGACAGGAACGCACAGCCATGGTAACCGAAGGTTTTGTCCTCTGGCACCTCCGCTAGAACAAGGGGAGGGGAGGGAATACTGTGGTCCCCAAAGCTGTACTTGTCTGTGCACCACCCATTCTGCCGACAAGCCCATGCCCCACACCCTCCTCAGGACCCATGGAGACTTGAGGCCTTGGAGCTCATTTTGTGTTTTCAAGGCATAAAAACGGGTCAGTGTGTGGTGTTCAATGGAACCCACAGGACTTGTGAGATCTGGAGCTGGTGTCCCGTGGAGAGTGGAGCTGTACCCAGGTAAGTCTCCTTTCTCTCCCAGGGTGGGCCCCAGGATAAGCAAAATGATGCCAGTATACTGTCTGTCCTCAGGAAGCCCCTGCTAGTGCAGGCCAAGAACTTCACACTTTTCATCAAAAACACCATAACCTTCAGCAAGTTCAACTTCTCCAAGTAAGCCTGGGCAGGTCTTGGTTGAGCCCAGATGCTCCATGCCTGGTGGGTCATCTGATCCCCATCACTATCCTTTCTAGAACCAACACCTTAGACACATGGGACAGCACCTATTTTAAGCATTGTCGCTATGATCCACACTCCAGCCCGTACTGCCCAGTGTTCCGCATTGGGGACCTCGTGGCCATGACTGGCGGGGACTTTGAAGACCTGGCATTGCTGGTGAGTCATTTGAGGTAGGTTCCTGCAGCTCAGGGCTAGGGTCTCAAGTCCATCTACCGGTGGAACAGAAATGTGTTGTGTGCAGGGTGGCGCTGTGGGCATCAGTATCCACTGGGACTGCAACCTGGACACCAGGGGCTCTGACTGCTGTCCCCGGTACTCCTTCCAGCTGCAGGAGCGGGGATACAACTTCAGGTATGGCCCTTGCTGCCATAGTTCTGGCTAGCTGTTCCTGGCCTGGTACTTTCTTCACCTAGCTCCCTGGGACCACCAGAACAGAGCACCCCCATACTCAGACCCCAGGACCCCCTGTGTGTACAAGGGCTCAATCCCCCACTCCACTCCACCTTCCCTCATCTGTCAGTACAGGCTCCCACTGCAGCCCCTCCCAGATGGTCCTGCTTCTCCAAAGCAGACACACCTTTCATCTTTAATTTCCCTGTTGGACTTTATCTAAAAATCCAGACTAGCGGCACAGATATTCATATATTTCTGACCATGGTTTGCTAGCATTGCTTTTTCTTTCCCTGGCAACACTAAGGCTAAGGATTGGACCCAGGGCCTCAGAACTATTTGAAAGTAAATATCAGATATTGGATACTCATCCTTCCCAATACTGCCAAGGAATGTTTCCACATGACCACTGTCCCATTGTCCCAGGCAACTCTGGACAGTGGGTAGGTGGTCACAGTACATGCTTGTAGTCCCTAATCCCAGCCCTCGGGGGCAGAGAAAGGGAGATTAGGGGGTCAGAGTCTTCCTTGACTTTTTAAAAAATATTTATTTATGTATTTATTTTTATGATCTATCCACTGTTCTGCCTGTATATATGCCTGCACACCTGAAGAGGGCACCAGATCTCATTACAGACAGTTGTGAGCCACCATGTGTTGCTGAGAGTTGAACTGAGAACCTCTGGAAGAGCAGCCAGTGCTCTTAACCACTGAGCCATCTCTCCAGCCTCCTTCCTCAGCTTTATAGCCAGTCTGAGGCAGCCTAGCGAAGAAGGAGGAGGAGGAAAGGAAGGGAGGAAGAAAGGAAAGAGAGGCGGAGAAGGGAAGGAAGGAGACGAGAGAAAAAGGGGAGGAGGAGGGAGATAAGGAAGGAAAGAAAGGAGGAAGGAGAGAAGGAAAGAGGAAGGAAGGGGGAAAAAGGAAGTTAGGAAAAGGGTATTGGATATTAAATCTAGCATTTTATATTTCTCCTACTGTGTTAAAAATGTTCCCAAATCTGTATTTTCCTATCATAGAGGCACTAAGAGATCTTAAATTGCAAGTATTGCCATGATTTCAGTTTCTCCAAGTAGAATCTTGGGCTCCTCCTGCCACTTAATATCATTTTATTACACATAGTAGCAGATGTGCACATGGGGCCATGAGGCCCAAGGACAATGCCCTTTGATACAACTCACTGTGCTTGGCTCCCCACCTCTTGTAACCGTATGGCTTAGGCTTCTGCTGGCACCTTCCTTTCTGCTCACTGTGCCTTCCTGAGCCCGGCACCTGTGCTCACTTCCTCCCCAGGTCTGTGCTGAAAGGAATTGCTGCTTCAGAGTTCTAACAGCCCTCCCCGCCACCCCACCTCCCTTCTCCCATACTGCCCCCTCCGCTCCAGTACCTCTTTCAGCATCCCCTGTGCCCCTCCCTGACCTCAGCATCCCCTGTGGCCCTCCCTGACCTCAGCATCTCCTGTGCCCCTCCCTGACCTCAGCATCTCCTGTGCCCCTCCCTGACCTCAGCATCTCCTGTGCCCCTCCCTGACCTCAGCATCCCCTGTGCCCCTTCCCTGACCTCAGTAGACAGCAATCCTCCTCTGGTCAGGCCCTGCTCAGGTTCTGGGGTGCTTTCCCCTGTCCTTAACATCTACAGGGAGCCTAAGACTTAGGACTCTGGGTTGGGCTGGTGGAGTCCGGATGATCCAGCCTGAGATGCAGCATGCAAACCAATGGCGTCTGTCTTCTCTGCTCCAGAACAGCCAGTCACTGGTGGGAACCCTCAGGCGTGGAGGCTCGGAGCCTGCTCAAGTTCTATGGGATCCGCTTTGACATTCTTGTCACTGGGAAGGTACTGTTCAGAGTAAGGGAAGGTTGTGGAGGTTTGGGAGGACAGCCCCAGCCCCAGAGGCTCAGCTGGGGTCTCTCAGGCAGGGAAGTTTGCACTCATCCCTACGGCCGTCACGCTGGGCACAGGAGCAGCTTGGCTGGGCATGGTGAGTCTGAACCTGAGGTTCACTTTGGCCGCAGCAACCACCGGCTAGGGCCTGTTGGCATCTACTGGGCCTGCATATTGTGTCCTGGGTGAGGGCTTGGCTGGCAGAGGGGTGAGGTGAGGAATCTGGAACATGATAGGTCCTCTTCCAGGTCACCTTCCTCTGTGACCTGTTGCTACTGTATGTGGATAGAGAAGCCCGCTTCTACTGGAGGACCAAGTATGAAGAAGTGAGTAGTGGGCCTGCTTGTGTCCCAGAGCGGACGTCAATGCCTGAACACTGGGTTCTGCCCCACTTTGGGAGGGTCCCTAATCTATTGTCTTTGTAGGCAAAAGCTCCAAAGGCAACTGTCAACACTGCATAGACCGAGTTGGCTTTCACACCTGCACCCTGCTGCCCAGGTGTCTCAGTGGTGGGTTGCACCTGTCCCACGCCTGTTGCTGCTGGGATCCAGACATCCAGACACCAGCGGCCTTGTCTGGGTGGCTGTCATCCCCTAGCTTATCCATTCCTGAATCACTCCCTGCAGGTTAAAGTTTAGGGATGAGAATGGATAGGTTCTGGCTTGGGCACATCAAGGACAAAGCTCCAACAGGACTGGAGAAGGGCTTGGGGGGATTTCACCAGACTCCCCATGCAGACTCTGTCCTAGGTCCAGCCTGAGGGAGAAGGCAGCATGATCAAATGATTGATGCCTGGTCCCTGGGGACTCTGTCTTCTGGGAAACTCTGCCATTCGGTTCAAGTCTGGTTAACCTGACCCCAGGTTTCTCAGGGGCCTAGGTGAGATGAGAGGCTACACATATAGGACTTCCTAACAGCAAGACATTCCTGGCAACCCCAATGCATGCAGAAGCACCTGCCTGCCTGAGGTCCTAAATCTGGCTCCAGTGCACCAGAGTTTCAAGGTGTGATCTCCATGAAAGACGCCAAGATTCCTCAGGGATAGATGGTTCTAAATCTGTGCGCATGCGGGGCTTTGACCCTCTCTCATTAGAGACTTTCCCCATGTCCCAGAGCTCATAGAAAGAACGGCATGGACAGGGGCTGCAGAAGTACAGCCCTTTCTTGGCCCATGTGTGGGGCATAGTTTATGGAGTATGCACCCCTGGAAGGGGAGAGGCAGCTTTGCTATGGACGTACAGCAACCAACGGAGTCCCAGGGCTGAGGCTGAAGCTGCACCAACGTCTAGGCTCACCTGGCTTCCAGATCCTCCAAAAAGCTTTTGGAGTCCTGATGCCTCTCAGCCCTCGGGGTTCTGGCTTCCAAACCACAGGGTGGGAAGGCCTGGTTACTGCAAGTGGGTCACGTGGACCCAGTATCCTTGGGGATTCGAAGAACCCTGACATCACTGCTGAAGTAAAGCTGCCAAAGCCAGCAACTTCCTGTGTAGTCTTTAAAGGGAGCAATGGGAAAAGGGAGACGTCTACCTGAGACAGAGCCACCCGCAGGAACCCCAGGGCGGGTGCAGAGCAGACATAGGTCTTCCTCCCTGTCTGAACGGTTGCCTCACAGCCGCCTAGTGGGCTGGAAGGCAGTGGATGCAGGCCCAAGTACCTGTGCACCCATGCACACTCAAGTGTACCACTCTATTCCAAGCCCACCTCTCATGGACACCGATGCCTTGGATATTAACAAGTAGTAGAGACCCCGAAGACTTTATCTGAAAACTCTCCTGAGGTATATAGAGACAGTAAAAGAGTGAGCTGTGTCCAGGAGTCTGGATTTGGAAATAACTGGTCAATTCTCCAAGGGTAACTGTGTGGGACATGAAGGAATGTGCTGGGGGTAAGTCTTGTGGGCATGTACCTGTGTTCCATGCATTTCAATGACCCTTGGCAGTCCTTGGGCACATGCTTTGATCCCCAGGGAGCCCATGAAATCAAGAGACGCTGACACCTTTATGAGTTACCTCCTTTGAGTTCAGGTTGTGATATATACCCTGCTAGCAGACATGTCATGGATCTGGAGTATTGGTCACTAGTGGTACCCTTGCCTAACAATCTCAAGGTCCTGGCTTCCACATCAAGCACCGCTAACATACACACACACACACACACACACACACACACACACACACACACACACACACGTACACACACTCGCACATGCACACACATGCATGCAAGCACACACATGCACATGCAGACACATGCACACATGTGCACACAGAAACCCTTATAGAGGACATGTGAGGACTGTGTCCTTGTCTTGTCAATGCCCCCTTCACAATATGCATGTAGCTTCCCTTCCCAGAGATACTTTCGGTAGACCTTCTGTCTCCCTGCTGTGGACTGGGGACAGTTGTTTGGCTCTTCACATAAATAAGAACTCAGTGCCACAAAGAACTCTGCAGTGTACACAATAGCTGGTCATAACACTAGCTGATTAGTTATTATTATGGGTCCCAGGGGCTGGAGCCTCTTCCCTGCCTGCTCTGCCCCACCTGCCCAGGTATCCAGAGTTGATCATAAGCAGGAAGGCATTGAGCGGCGAGCGCACACCAGCACTGGACAAGGCCTACCCCATGAAGACTGAAGGCTCAGTTCCTGGGAACTGACAACACTCCTAGCCCAGTCTGGGCAGGCTTCAAATCTAAGCTTCCTTGGGCAGGCAGCTGCCAATTCTTCTGGCCTCTGGATGTGGGCAATGTGGGGCCCTCTATGAGTCAGCCTCAGACTGGCCAGCTACTCTGCACAGGCTGACTCCTGGTCTGCGGCCTGGCCAGCAGGCTGCACGGCTTGCACCGTTTCCTCCAGGCTGCCACTGGGGAACACCACGTAGTGTGCAGTAGTCAGCTCCAACGGCTCCCTCTGGTTCTCCTTGCTGTGCCAGATGCCATAGCCAAAATACACGACAAGTCCTGTAGGAACAGGCATGAGCCTGAGGGGCAGATCCCAACCCCACCCACCCTCTTTAGCCTCCCATTTTAGAAAAGCTGCGTCCAAGCCCAGGCCCCACTCACCAACCAGCAGCCAGAAGATAAAGCGCAGCCAGGTCAGGTAGCTCAGCTTCAGCATGAGGCAAATGTTGAGAAGGATGCTCAGGGCTGGAGTCAGGGGCACCAAAGGGATCTGAGGGTGCAAGGGCGAGGCTGAGCTCGGCTGCAGGATAGCTATGCTAGCAGCCTAGAGCCTGACTTGTGTGGGAGTTCCTTAGAACCCGTCTTCATCTCTGGAGATTTGGAGCCATGTGTACCCTGGCCCTGCGGAATGCTGGAGGAAGTGGGAATGGATAACCCCGCCTCCCCAGCCCCGTGAGCCCTTGTGCCTTCTCAGGTAGTGTGAGAGGCTGGGGCAAAGGGAACAGGTCAGTCTGAGAGGTAACAGTATTGACGAGGCACAGGGTGGGGGAGGAAGATGGGAGTGTACCTGAAAAGTGTCTTGCTTCTTTTGCTGCTGGTGAGCCCCCAGGACCAGGAGGCTGAACAGAAAGACAGCACCACTGACGACCAGCAGGAGGACATAGCCCCACCGCGGGAGGCGCAGGTCTGAGTTCCCGAAGACTAGCACACACGCCAGGGAGATAGCAGAGACTACCAAAATGCCAAGAGCCCAGGCCACAGCAGTTCCAGGGCGGCATCCATTCAGGAAGCCCAGGAAGGGCTTCAGGGCTGGCCGCAGCTGACCAGGCTCAGACACGGAGGTCTGTGCAGCACCTACTAGCTGTATGTGGTCCGAGAAGGAGTCGTACTTCTTAGCTGTGTGGCCAGGGCTGGCTAGGCATGGGGAGCTGGGGGGAGAAGCTTTCTGGAAACGCAACACAATGATGCTGGTGGCTACAAAGGTATAGGCCAGCAGAGTGCCGATGGACAGGAACTGGACCAGCGCCTCAAGGTCCAGCAGCAGCGCCAGGAGAGCCATGAGGACTCCAAACACCAGGATTCCCACCACAGGCACCTGCGTCCGGGGGTGCACACGGGCAAACACCTGGAAGAAGAGCCCATCGGCGGCCATGGCATAGACAATGCGAGGCAGGGAGAAGAGGTTGCTGAGCAGGACCGTATTCATGGCTGCAGCAGAGCACAGGGAACAATCAGCAGGGCAGGTAAGCCCAGCAGGGGCTGCTGCTAGGGCTCTCAGAGATAAGAGTGTACTGAAGGCATTCGCTTCTAACCTCCCACCTAGGAGCAGGGCATTTCTGTTTAGGTCCAGCCCATTTTAGACCCCTTGAGAGCTCGCAGTCTGCCTGGGAAGGACCTGTCAGCACGTGCTCCCAAACTGATATTCTGTGTATGATTTGAGGGGAGAGGGCCTGCCAACAAGTCTCTGGAAATGGGTGTTTTCCTGGGACCTGGGTGGAGGCACACTACCCTGTCCGCTCCCACCCTGCCCGGAAGGGTCCCTTACCACAGATGGAGCCGACTGCCACAATGAAACCAGCCCAGCTGTAGCCCCGCCTGTAGAAAGCATCGGCAAGAGCCGAGTCAGGGTCCAGACTGTGCCAAGGCACCATGAGGGTCAGCACGGTGGAAACCAGAATATAGGCACTGGCGGCCAGGCCAAGGGAAATCGCAATGGCCATCGGCACAGCCCACCGTGGGTTTTTGGCCTCCTCACTGGAGGCAGCAATAACATCAAAGCCCACGAAGGCATAGAAACAGGTGGCTGTGCCCGCCAGGATGCCAGAGAAGCCGAAGGGCGCAAAACCACCCTCTTCTGCGCTCCAGTTGTGAGGGCGGGCCAGGATGAAACCCAAGATGATAATGAGAAGGATGACGATCATACTGATGGCTGAGAACGTGTGGTTGAGCCAGGAAGACACTCGGGCTCCACAGGAGACAAAGGCAGAAGCTACAAGTAAAATCCCAGCGGCCAGAAAATCTGGATAATGGGCCAGGAAGGGCATCTGCCAGACACCCATGTGAGACTCCGTAAAGTTGCGAATGCTGTGGTTAAAGATGGCATCCAAATAGCCACTCCAAGCACGGGCCACAGCAGCACCTCCAATGAGGTATTCCAGAAGTACATTCCAGCCTATGAGGAATGCCCATATTTCACCCATGGACACATAGGTGAACAAGTACGCAGAGCCGGTACGGGGCACACGGGCTCCAAATTCTGCATAGCATAGGGCTGCCAGCAGGGAGGCTACAGCAGCCACCAAAAAAGACAAGAGCACAGCAGGGCCAGCCATGTCCTTGGCCACTGTGCCTGTGAGCACATAGAGCCCAGACCCCACCATGCCACCCACACCCAGTAGGGTCAAGTCTAGTGTGGACAGGCAGCGCCGCAGTGATGTCTCCATGCTAGACTCTTCCAGTGGCTTCAGACGGTTCAGTTTCTGGCAGAAGCGTGCCAGGCGGGTGGTGCTGGGCAGTCCCCGGGCCATGGCAGACGGCTGAGGAGTACAAAGCCAACTTCTGGAAACGTCTGGGGACAAACAACAGGAATAACCAGCCAGCCTCCATTAGCTCACAGACTGTCCACCCAGTTCTCTCCTCTCCGTAGGAACCCAGGACAGCTACAGCATGGACCTACCCTTAGAGGATAGGTTCATGGGTGTCAGGGGCTGTGGGCAGGAGGAATAGAAAGCGTGGAGGTCCTTCCTGTCAGCCTTCAGGGCAGTGGAAGCGGCAGGGCGGTGCGGACCTGGAGCGGACCTGCAAAACCTGCAGGTGCTTCAGAGGGTGAGTGGGAGGTTGCTTAAGAACATTAGCCAGGCTTGGAACAGGCTCCACGAGCAGGGAGGAATGGGAGGCTTCCCGTGGAGCAGGGCCAGGCTGCCAGGACCCGGAACAGGAGTGGCCAAAGGGACACCTGGCCTCAGAGAAACGCGATCACCCCCTTCTAACAGGTTGGAGGATCAGCTCACCTGAGGCCAGGAGGCCAGGGCTGCAAGGGCCCTGAGCCCCGGATGTGGAAGCTGTGGGGCGCCTCCCCTCGCCATATGCGTTCCAGACACAGCTTCTGGGCTGGCTGCCTCTGCTATATCCCTGGCCCCCAGACATTCAAGCCTTCGCGTGCATTTACATCCCCACAGCAGCCTTCCCGCTAGACCCGCTGCGACCCACCTGCTGTCGCCGCCGCCGCCACCGTGTGCACTGCGCCTGCCCCGCTAGCTTACAACGCCTGCGTGCAGGGCCCGCCCCTGGCTCCCAGGCACAGGAAAAACCGGAGCCTCACAATTCATCCCCTGTGGCGTTCTGCACAGGGCTCCGCACCGCATTACATATCAGTATAACCCTCTTAACGAGTAGACCACAGCTGACAGTCCCAGGGCTCACTCTGCCCTTTCGACTGGTGAGGATGCCTGCTCCACCACCTGCTAAACCCCTTCAGTGGGTCCAGGTTGGGGCCGGAGCCCACCCTGCGGCACTGCAGCAGAGAGCTCCTCGATCTCTCCCACCCAACACAATTACTCCAGCCAATTGGACGTCAT